CCCTAAATCATAATGGTGCACACTGGCCCTTCAACTGCAGAAAGTCTATTGTCAATCTATTGTGTTGATAGAATTCAATACCGTTGTCATTACAATAATATGATAAACGGCCGGCATTGAAATGTATTTTATTCCTCAATCATATGATTGTATTGATTAATCATCATATCATGGTAGATAATCATACTATTATGACCTACAAAATATCAAACAAAAAATATATATTCTTACTATAGCATTATCTAATAGTGGTTACCATAGATACTGTACATTAATCTGTGTACTTTATTATGTACAATTATATTGCTATTTTTTAATCAAGAGAAGTTAAATACAGGTGCTGAGACAGGAGGAGCAAACTGGAATCCCTGTGTAGTACTGTCAGGTGCTAAGTGAACGTCCTCTTCACCATCGTCCTCAGGGAAGTATTTCTCAATCAAACTCTTGCAGGCCTCATACACCTCGAGCTTCTTATGTTCTTGCAGCTTTTCTAACATGTTTGTTCCTGAATTAATAATAAATAAAAATGATTTATTTAGGAAATCATACCAGAATCATCAAACCTATAGAGGTCTTTATGGCAATGCTAGCACACAACTCTAGTTACACACTAGACAAAAAGAGGAAAAAACTTTGTGRCCGCCAAGCAATGGCATTTGCACAAACTGCTAGCAGGGTAACATGCGAAGTGCAAAAACCATAATGGCATACTTTACATTATCATATGACCCGTATTTCGTCCCTACGTGCGCTCATAAAAAACCTCCGGGAAATGGTCACATAATGAGGGCACGCCAAAATATTTGGCTCTCTGTCATTTGTATAACCTTCAGCCAAATACTTTCCTGTATGGCCCTCCCACTCAGTCAATAAGGACATGGTATTTAGTGTTTTGCATGCAATGTTTGTGCTATATAACACAGTATAGGAAATCCCTTGTCTTACATCCAAAGCCTTCACAATTATAGTTTTTAGGAAGGAAATGGCAAATGACATGGGATAAACTAACCTTCATTTTCTTCAAAAGATGTCAGTGCATAGTCCAAACCACCCTCAATGTTTTGAGAATTCTATCAGATGTTAAATAGATGTTAGCAAGCCTTTCATGTAACTTTTTTTATAGACTGTTTGGTATCGCAATGACTTTCAAGTCATAAAATATAGAACACTTTCTAACATTTCACACATTTACACTGTAGCTTTGTTCCAATATAGTTCAGAAGGTACAATGATCCAGCATTTCACAGCATTTTTCAAATAATCTTTTGAAGTAGAATATTTTGCAGTGCTGTTATATATTAGATGCAAAGTTCTCTTGTTGTGCAGTTGTAATGTATTATTGTATTAAATCAACAAAATAATTAAAAATAACTTATAAATAAAAAATTACTGTTCAATATAATATTATACTTACATGGAAAATATTGTTAAAGCCTTCTAGGAGTATTAATAATGCCTGGAAAATAGATAATAATAAATAAATACATAAAAAAATTCACTGGAGCAGTGATGACAAGTTCTTGACAGCTTTAGACTAAGGTGTAATGTTAGGGCTGTATGCATTGTCTTCAAGGAATGAAAATCATTACAAAACACTACCAAAACTCATCCAACTAACTGAAGATAATGAATTAAAATATCAAGACACTTACCTTTGGGTCCTGGATTTCCATTTGTTCACACATGACAGGAATGACATCACAATGTAACAAATACTTAAGTTGCTCAGGATTGGCTCCTGATGTGTAGTTGGTGATGACCCAAATGGCTTCTTTCTTTGCTTTGAAGTCACCCTGCAGTAAGGTAATAGTCAGGAAAACATTACAATCTATTCTGAAACTTACAAACAGTAAATATGTCATTTCTAAAATAAGCACCATCACATGTTGTTGAAGGCTTCAATATCAATCACAGTGTTGGATCAAACACTGTAGTTTCTATGGTGTTAAGTCTTTTCCTTCCTTCCTTTTCATTTTCGTTTTTCATCCAAACTTAAAGTTGAAATTTACTACTAAAGGCTAACTTGATAACTTCTCAGTTTACTTAGCCTTTAGGCACACTACCTCACTAAAATCATAATTATATACCTAAATAAATTTAACTTAATTTCTACTTAATTATTATACATTTGTAAATATTATCTTTATTTTTGTGCAAAAAATATACTGATTCTGATTCTGTCTGGCTAGAGATTTGTCAGAGAATCCAATGTTACTAGTAAGTTGCCCAACAGGGGGAGGGGGAGGGAAGAGCACTTTAGGATTAGGGTAGGGGAAGGTGGATACTTACCCTTCTCAGGATATCAATAACTAAAGGCACAAGACCTGCTTCTATGACACACTGAAACAAGAAGTAATTTAATGATTTATTCACATTATCCACTACATGTTTAAAGTTTCCAGGGACAGCTGTATTACTTTTGCACATCAATGTAGAATATGCACTTTTCATTCTTAGTATAATCCAGAATTTAAGAATCAATCATAACTCAATTTATTTAGATGAGTAAGTATCAGAACAATCCTGTCACAGGTTGTAGCACATTTTTCAATTTGTTCTCACACTCGACAGTTGCAGATAATACTAAGTGCTGGCTTTCAGTGCATTTACCTGTATCTGTGGTTTTGTACCAGCTGTGATATTTGAGATAGCCCAAGCTGCTTCCTTCACAACTGTACTACGCTTATGTGTAAGTAGATTTCTGAAGTAGTATAGAGCATTGTTTTCAATGACAGCCTGAAAGAACAGATTAAAATAGTAATTACAATCATGTTATTAGTGCAATCTTGCTGTGTAAGGATGGTACACTTCTTAATCTTTTGCTCCACTCAATGTGGCCAACAAGCATACTATTTCTGTGAAGGACATATTAAATGGTAGCAATAAGGTTGACTCTTTCAGCGAAGTTAGATTAATGTTGTTTTGATCTACACCTGTCCTGAGTACATTGTACTACTTGAATATTGTATCATTGCTGCAATCTATGTATTTGTGACTTCCTTCCTGGCAAATCCAGAAACAAAACCCAATTCAGCTATGGTCTGGAGGGTTTGTACTCTTTTGAGGGTCTCAAATCCAATGATTTCCGTGACTTTTAAATGTTTTTCAAAACCAGAATACATACAAACGCCTTAACTTCATAAATACTAGCATGTGACTAGTTTCAAAAGGTTGCCATGAAATATATAATTATTGAATTTGAATGAAATATAAAACATATTGCATTTGTTTCAAATTCATACAGGAAATAGTAGTTATATGATGATGAAGAACAAAATTTTTTAATGACTTTCCATGTCCCTATGGACAACATTTTATGACTTTCCAGGCCTGGAAAACTAAAATACGAAATTGATGGCTTTCCAGGTTTTCTGTGACCTGTACAAACCCTTTATGGTAAACATGAATCTAAAATCATTGACTGAACTACAAGGTGTTATTCACAAACCTGTGTTTGATCATCCCGCCCTGTGACAACATTACCAACAGCTCTTAGTGCTGGTGTCTGTGTAATGGAATAAAGAAGAAAGTATCAACATGTTTAATAGTTGAGTTTCGCGATCTCTTTTATGCTGTGTTAGCATTAATTGTGTGCAAAATATTCATAAATTTGAATAAAACTTGTAGGATTTCAAACTATTTCCATTTTCTATTATACTCATGGATCTCTTGCATTTGCACGGACTGTTATAGTGAATAAAAGAATCTATTACAACATGGTTTTAAGGCTAACACAGCATAAAAGAGATCGCTAAAAGGGTTTATTGCAATCTTGAAAACTATAGTCTGATGTTTTCCAAAGCAAACTAGTATAAAACTCTTGAAAAATAAACTACTATTTTTTATTTCACAATTATAACAGAAGCAGGAGAAACACTTGCTGTGCTTGTGTCTTCTATACTCAACATGTCCAACCAAATTTATCAGAGAATAGAGAGATGAGCTATTCATATTTCTTAACTGCACATCTTGGCATTTAAAGACTTACCACTACATTGACTTCAGGAAACCAAG